AGGTCAGACAGGGAAAGTAGATTTATCTGCAGGAGATTTCCAGGCATCTCTCTCTATGGGATTAGGAGTCCAAGCTAAAAATGCCTGAACAAAATTATATTTATGATATGTTATAGGAATGTGAAGGCTTCTGTGCATATTAATTGAGGCCTAAAGCTGCTTTTAAACAGTGTGATACGGTGTTTAAGGTACTAAATAGCTTTCTCTTTGTTTCTTTATTTTCTGGTTGCCAAGGAGATCAGGATTATCATGTACGGTACCTTTTCTCAAATTAGCCTAATCCAAATCATGTTGTTAACTTACGTCTGCTCCAAAGATTAACAGAGAGGGAATTCTTTTCTCGAATCAGTGTAATTTGCAAGATGCTGGGTCGTTTTTGTACTCACTTCTACTTTTCTCTGACCATTTTTTTCCATCACTGAAATCTGAAAATATGTCAAATAAGATGCCTCAAATTCTTTATGCGTCATTACTCTCTTCTCTTACCAGCACATTCTTTTTGGTGATTGTTGCTGTAGACTTTATCATGTTGAGAGCTGCATGCTTGAGTTTTTCCTCAGCTCTCAGAAATTCTGATTTGCTCAGATACGAAAGATTTGAGATATGACATGAGAATATGACTAGAAGAGGGCAGGACTGTGAGGACTCTACTGCACCACCCATGTCAAGCCATGGCAGGGCTACTCTGGGAGCAGGAGAGATTGCTGAGGTTGCTTATTTCTCTAGATTTCCTTATGATGACAAATAACTAGTCACAAAGGTAGAATGAAGAAGAAAATACACTTTTACTTGCTTCGCAGTAGAAAATTCCAGGTAATCGAAACACTGGTAAGGACAGAAATGGAGTATAAGAGATAGTAAGACCCTGTTCTGTTTGCTATTAATGATGGGAACATGTCATAGAGGTGGTTATTATAAGGTTTACGAATCCTTTAATCCAGGATAAACCATTTACGAGTAATATATGGATTAGATTGCCTGGGATGTGCTAGGAAATAAAATTGTGGAAGAGACAAAAGCTCAAGTTGATAGAGTCTTCATAACTCTGCTGGAGCAAGGCAAAAAGACCTTAATCCAAATGGGGAGTTCCCCAGACTCCTTGATGGGTGGCAGTGGGAGGCGATGGGGCTCTCACCTTCCCAGTACCCGCTTCACAAGGGAACATAAAGAAAAGCCCTCCCATGCCCTCCCACCTGCCCACCTTCCCTGCAGCAATCCCCTGTGATAAGAGGCTTCTTGCCGTATAAAGTAGCATTATTTCTTGTTGGCTGCACCATCAGTCACGGGAAGTTTTGTTACGTTTTTGGATCCCAGGCTACATTCCATAAGAGCTGTCCTCTTTTAGTTGCCTGCAATTCTTCTCATTTTCTCCTGTTTTCTGGTCTTGTGAATATTGTTGTCTCAGGGAGCAGAAAGAAGCAGGAGATATTAAAAGGAGAGAGGCCAGAACCAGGCCCCTGAGGAGCTCCCTCACACTCAGCTAAGCTAAAGCTTCACATTCAGATGATGCTCTGGTCATAGGGATGTGGCTCAAGGTGCCCTAAGGAGCTCTCTGCCAGGCACCAAGCCATGTCCCAAGCAATTTGCTCACTACCTTTACAGGACCTGGTGACAGGTGGGAGCAAAGCCTAGATACATGTGGAGTACATTGGCTGCCTGGGCTTGGGCTGTCCTTAAATGCTGGTTTCACTGGCTCAGGTGTCCCATAGCTGGTGATACAGATGAGCATGGGGTAGGTCAGGTAGCCTGCTCTTCTTTCTCCACTCTGCTGCCCACTCAGGCACAGGAAGGAGGTTTAGCACTGTGCATGTATGTCTCCTCCAAAAGCAAGGAGAGACTGCTCTTGGTTGAATGCCTTCACATATTACTCTTGCAAAAAAGATTAAACTCCACATCAAGTTCTTGATTCCTTCCAAATTATGAGTTATACAGGAAGAAAGAAGATCAACAGGAATCCTTTGACTATATGAACTATAATATATTACAACATCAGTCAAATTCTGAACTCTTTCTCTTAGAGTTCATCCCACCATCAGGTTCTTCAATTTGCTCCCGTAGATTTAATTTACCCTATTAGTTTGAGATTGACTGGCCTCAGCATGGTAATCTCCCATCTGATGGATACCTCTCATCTATGCTGTTACTACCAGCTCATCAAAACACACAAGTTTATTTTTCTATTTCTACACAGGAGAGGAGGAAAAAAAAAGAGCTCAGACATGGGAAGAAATGATGAGCTTGTCAAACCGTGCCAAATTGGATTGAATTAGGTGACAGAGGATCTGAATCATGCTACTTGTTCTGAATAAGTAAATGCTTTCCCCTCCTTGCAGTCTCACAACGCTCTCGAAGCAGTGGCTTTTCTTCTGAAATGCCAAAAAACCCCAAAGCGCTTCTCAAGTAACGTGAGCTGATTTGTGTAGGCATTTACCACCACCTGAACACAAGATTGTTTGCTTAACATTTTATGCACTACGTGTCAATATTTACTCAGCCTTCCTAACAAGAGAATTGATGGTGCTCAATTTGCAAGCCCAATTGTGCTAGCTGTGACATTGATATTGTCTTCTCTTGTTTTAGACCTCGGAGAGAAGCAAGTTTTTTTCCATCTTCTATTTATCCATTAATGCTGGAAGTTTGATCTCCACGTTTGTAACTCCTGTATTAAGAGGTCAGTGTTGATTTAGAATAAGACAATACATTAGCTGCCCTCTGACTACTCTGCTGTGCATAGTTAGGCTCTTATGACAACTGAATGGCAGAAATTACATTATCTGTGGAGTGGCCAGTGTATTGCATTTACGCCTTGTTAATCCTGCCGTAGCAGCGTAACAGATTTATAGTACTAGCAGACAAGTCACAGAAACTATATTCCTGGTTGTATTTCAAAGCCAGCCTGTACTGTAGAATCAGAATGTGAAAAGTGGAAGGACCTATTGGTCATCTAATCCTCCCCATTGCCAGCGAAGGATTATTCCTGTCTTGCCTGCAGGTAGCCTGAGTATGGGAATGGATCTCTGCTGTCCTGTGCAAGTGTCAGGACCAAAAAACTTAGCAGAACAGGTTTTGAATTCCTTCCTTCTCCCTCCCACAGGGTGCTGCTGGCTTTTGGAGGGGCTCTGTCCTTTTCCCAGGCAGTGTCTGCGTGGGTCTGCTTGCAAGATTGCAGCCCTGAGCAACTAGCCTTGAAAACAAAGCACAGGCCTATGCCCCACTTAAGACCTACTTTACATTCCAGCTAGCTTGCACAACCCCATTTAGTCCCTGAGTCTTGCTGCAGTTACTTCATTGTATCTCAGCGCCTAGAAGCCAAGGGGATTGGCACGCTCTAAATACAGGCACAGGGGCAGAGCAGCAGGCTATGGGTGCCTGGGGACAGGGACAAGGTAGCCTTCACACTTAGTAACAATTTTTTTCATTCCGTCCCTTGGCCTCCAGGAAGCTTTCTTTGTTCAGAGTGGTTATTTTAACAGGCCGTTCATTTCACAAGGCTGTGGGCAGTTGTGCTTGTCTCATACTTACAGTGTGCGTGCGGCAAAGACAAATGCTGGATCTCATGTTCTTTCACTCACCAGTGTCCCCAGATCAGCATTCTAATTGGAAAGGGTGTTTGCTCAATGTCATTGGTGAGTCGATGCAAATCCAGTCCCCTTCAAACACCAAAACCTGTGCCAAAATAGCCAAGCAATAAACTAGTTGCAATATGGAAATGAGGTGAAGAAGATGGGGAAATAGTAAAATTTTTTTGTGAAAGCTTTTTTTGGAAGAGCAAGAAATGCAGTTCATAGACATTTGGCAGAATTTTGGAGTATATACTTCTGGATAGAGAAGCCCAACTCATTTTGCATGTAAAAAGTTCAGTGTGTCCATAACATCTCACTGCCAGCTTTGCTGGATTTCAGCTAATTTGCTGAAAATCAGTAAATAAATGCTATGCATGCACACAGCTATGCAGCTGACCATGATTGCCCAGGGACAACAAACAGGAACAACTGAAGGCTTCATGAGTTGGTTTCCTGTTAAGTATGTTGGCTTATTTTAGCCATTTTGTTATTGCTCCATGTAAGAATGCAGTAATTTGTAGCCACTGGCATACAAACACAGACCCCACTGCTGGCTTGCAGTTTGCAACTGGACTTCTAAATTCATGTGGTGTGAGAACTGACCTGGTCCAAGAGGCGCAGGATTTCAGTGAGCCATAGTTCAGATCAAGCAAAACCACATTGTAACAAACCTGGCTTCCTAATGGGTTATTGCAAGACCAGACATTTGGAGCAGGCTGCCTCTAGTGAGATTGGGAAGGTGGTGAGAAAAGGAACTGGAGTGTTAACACTAATCATAGAATCGTAGATTGGTTTGGGTTGGAAGGGACCTCAAAGATCATCTAGTTCCAATCGCCCTGCCATGGGCAGGGAAACCCTCCACTACACCAGGTTGCTCAATGCCTCATCCAACCTGGCATTGAATGCTTCCAGGGATTGGGGCATCTTCAGCTTCTCTGGGCAACCTGTTCCAGTGCCTCACCACCCTCTGAGTGAAAAATTTCTTCTTTATATCTAATCCAAATCTGCCCTCTTTCAGTTTAAAGCCATTGCCCCTTGTCCTATCACAACATGCCCTTGTAAAAAGTCCCTCTCCAGCTTTCCT